CCCCCCCCCCCCCCCCCCCCCCCACACACACACACACGCACGCACGCACACCGTTAAATTCAAATGCCGAGTTTCACTTTACTCATGTTGCCAAACAGTAACTTCATTTTCATATAGGGGTTCTTGCTGAAAACTACAAACACAGATCCACAGTAGTCCACATGCAAGAACTTTCATTTTGTTGGTGTATTGTTATATTTGTATACATTTTTAAAATAAATGTATTCAATATAGCCTAAACATGAAATTCCATTGAATCATAGTAGAAAATAATAATCATATTCATCCAGACAAGGATTAATTCATGTCAAATTGCTGCCATGGACAAACAAGCTTGATTTTTTTTTTTTTTTGCTCTTTTGTACAAGTACAGTAATTTTTCAATAAAGTGTATTTTCCAGAACATACACATCTATACAGTTGTTACTCACCAGTAAGCACATTTAAATTGTGGCTTGTTCTTCCAAAACATACCAGCAGTATTTAAAGTTGCTAAAGGCTGGAGTGTCAGCCTCTTTGTGCACATAGATGCATGTTTTTATATAAAAGCATCTGCTTATTTCTCTCTCCCCCCCCCCCCCCCCCCCCCAGTTTCAAGTCAACTGAAACCACTGTGGTAAAAATTTGACTGAAGTAAGGATTATACTATTATTTTGCCACGAGTATTCATTACAGCCCTCATGCCTTCAAGGAAATTTGCTGTTAATTATCACGTTTGCTGTAACTCTGCAATAATGACTGAATCGTTGTGCGATCTAGTGTTGGAGTTGCTAAATGATGCTGCTTGTTGTTGGTGCATGTCTGTATCTGGAATTCCCTTGGAGAACCTATTTTCTGCTTCTCGGTTTCCTTGGCTGCAGATTATTTTTTAGTGGGTGTGGCAGTGATGCCCCTTGCTGTGCTGTTGGGACATGTGGCTGAGCCTGACCCTTGACCTGTGCTTGTTTCTCAGCTACGTTATGCTTGTGCTGACACAGGCCTCTGTGCTCACTACTGTCGTGGACTGATACCTGTACACAAACCTTTGAGGTTACACCTTTGAGATATCTTAACCAACATGTCATGATCTCTAGAAATAATCTTTTCATCCCATTTCATCTTTCATTTTTTTTAGATACCTGTTTTTTAGATGTCTCCTGTTTTAGCTTCTCTCCACTGGCTCCGTCAAATTCAGAATTTAATTCAAAATCTTACTTCTAACCTACAAAGCCCTCAACACCCTAGCTCTGCGGTGTCAAACAAAATGGGGACAAAATTACAACCTTTTTCAAACTAAGGGCCAGTTTCAGAATCGACATTAACCCAAGTTAGATACCCAACATCTTTTCTTGGTCACAGATTCCTCAGCAAGAGTTCGATTGGTCTCATTTGACGTTCTCTGTTGCACTTTTGACATCATAATCAAAGATTACTGAAAAATAATAAGGGATAAATGTATTTTACATTTAAAACAACATTTTGGGGGCAGATGTAATTGAGGACCACATTTGGCCCCTGGGCCTTAAGTTTGACACATATGACTTAGCTCCATCTTATATTCAAGATCTTATTGTTCCATATTTTCCTAACAGAGCACTGTGCTCTCAGACTGCAGGCTTACCGTACTTGTGGTTCCTAATTCCCAAAAGCAGAATGGGAGGAAGACCTTTCAGTTATCAGGTTCATCTCTTGTGGAACCAACTTCCAGTTTCTCTGTGAGACTGACACATTGTCCAGTTTTAAGACACGCAAGACTTTCCTTTTTGATTAATGCTCGTTAGGGTTGGCTTGTTACGCTGCCATAGGCTTAGACTCCAGGAGGACAAATTTATCTAATTTCTTTAAATGAATTGCTAAAATTGAGTAGTTTTAATTGATACTATTTCTATCTTAATGTGATTCTTGACGTGCCATTGTGCATCTGTTCCTCCTTCCTGTTCCTCTCAAACCCAGCTGGTTGAAGCAGATGGCTGCTTGTCCGAGCCTGGTTCTGCTAAAGGTTTCTATCTCAAGGGGAGCATTCATCCCATTTCTGTTTTATCTTTCTTTTTGTAGATAGGTGTTAGATAATGTTATTATTATATATGAATGTTTCTGTTCTGTGCCCTGAGACTTCTGTTGTGACTTGGCGCTATATAAACTGAACTGAACTGAACGGATACAGAACCAGTGCAACACAGATGCAAACAGTTGGTTGTGTCCATGTGCTGGATGATTTCCTGATTCCTTTGTATGCCCGTTTCTCTCCAAATCATCTTCCACTTGGTTCATCTCTCTGTGCACCTTCCTCTCCATTATCTCCCTCCTTTTTATGGTCCACTTCAACTTTCAATGACGAACTGTCTTCTGTTGTTGCAGGGTCCTCAAGAACAGATGCAGGGAACACGTCATACACGCAGGTCCTGGTGCTTTTACTATTGTTGTTTTTTTATTCAAAGACTTCTACTAGAACTGCAAAACATGTTTTGTTATGTCTCATGCACTTGCAGATAGCAAGATAATAGCATTAGAGTGGCATATTACAGTAACAGCATTATTATTTTCCAGGTACTCCATTATCGCCCAAAGATCGAGCTGGCCTTCAGTCAAATATGGAGGTGTCTTCTTTCAAGGTCACTGGAACAAGCAAGTTCATCAAACAAAAACAGGCAAATAGACCAATCATACAGATGTATGGATGGGGTGGGGGAGACAAAAAGCGAGTGAGGTTTGTGTTTTTTCATACAGTTTGACAATTAGCTAGAACAAAGCGCACCACTGTGACCATCAAACATTTCTGGCACCAGGTTTGAGTTTGACTACATAAAGAAATTGGAACTTGATTCAAATAAGCCAGGCATAAAAAGTTTCCAACTCATTTTTTTTTTTTTTTTTTGACAGTTTTCTTAAGGTTCCACTAGATGGGGCCATGCAATAACAAACACAATGGTTGCTGTCCAAGCAGAACTAAACTACATACATGGCAAGATGGTTTTAGTGATGTTTTGGACCAGAGAGTGTCATTTTATTGAGATGCACAGATTTTAAAACACAATAACACAAATCAATTTTCATTCAAGTAAGCACAGATCCTTCAAAGACAACGTGGAACTTCCTGCTTCTTATTATGACAAAAAAGCAAACTTTGAGTTAAATATCCACTGATGTCCAGTGAGCTCCTCAGGGAAGGCAATAGACTGTATAGTTATCACCTGAGCAGGGTGCAGTCCCACCCACCAAACTATACAACCTACTACCTCACCCCGACAGAACCTGAGTCAAACATCAGATTTTTATATATCAGAACATGAAAGCAAAGTCAATTGTTAGAGATAAGATACATTTTCATAAAGCATCTGTCAGAATGCATTATAACATGATATTTTTCTTTTAAATGAGCAGCATGGTTATCCATCAGGAGATGACAGTAGATTGGTTGATTCAGCTGCCTCCTTGGGAAAGACAGTAGATTGTATAGTTATCTAACAAAGAGGTTAACCCCCCCACAACTATTCAATCTACTACCTCAGCCCCAAGGACAGCATTCATCTTGCTCCAGCAGCACAGGGTCACAAAGATAACTTTCTGCAGAAAAAAAAAAGAGACAGAGAAGATTGTCTTAATTAAATCATATTTAATTTAAACATGTGATTTGGATAAACCGAGTGGAGTTGATGCTTCATAAATGTCGATTGCTCGTATTGTTGATTGATTTGTTTTAATTCAGTCCCTGTTTCTTTGTTTCTCGTTTAACTTCTGCTCGAGTATGACAACAGGTCTCTAAGTGCCGCAATCTGGACAAACATCTATCTGTTCAAAACTAAAGAAAACCAGAGTAATATTGTAAATCATGTAAAGGTACATTTAGAACTTATTACAAATAATAATAATAATGACAATAAATCTTCAGCAAATAAACTACCAGTAAGCGGACATTTGGAAGTGGGTGCATAAATGTGTGAAAGCCCAACAAACAACTCACTGGCTTCCTGAGACTACGGCATGTGATCGAAAGAGGAAAAAGAAAAAGAGCCGATCGACTCTGTGCCAGAAATCCTTATTCGTTTTTGCCAAAAAGCAAAAAAAAAAAAAAAAAGTCGGCTCTTACTGCAGCAGGCTATCCCTGTGTAGGCTGGCTGCTGCTTCTCAGGCGGAGATCCACACACAGATGCCTACAAATACAGCCTCTAACAGCTGCCTCTGATTGAATACAAAGCTGGGATTCTGCCCCCAAAACAAAACAAGGAAACACAAAATGGCGTCCTGAACATCGGCCATTTTAGGTCCGACTTAAAACATTGTTAAGTCCACCTTACGTTTTTTTATTGATTTATTTATGAACCTGCTGCGTCATAATGAAGACAGAACAGCTGTTATATCACAAGTTATGTAGCAGCCATTTCATGCCAAGTATTGAAACGAAGCCAACAGACCCAGTCGACACAGACTCGTGTGCCGGAGCAGAGAGAAAGCTATCTCTTATCAAACAACTGGACAGCTGACAGACAAAAACGTGATCACATGCAGCTTGTGTAAGTATTGCTAGACAGAGGATGGGGGGGTTAGTGTGCCAGTAGGTTAACATAGCAGCAAATGAAGGGTTAATGAGTGCCAGACTTAAATGCCAGGTCTGGGCCTCAGAAGGCACAGAGAATGGGTTAGAGGGTACACTGCTTGCATAAATTAGCATACAGCCACAACCCCTGAGAGTTGGTCCAGACTAGCTTGTAGTTAGTATGCAGTCGACCCCACTAGCCTGATTACAGACCAGACAGAGAACAGGGTGGGGGGGTGCTGGCATGATGCCCACCTCTGCCACCAAGCTAGTGACAGATCTATGAGCTCTGGTCGCCAAGAAACATCCCCTGACTCCAACTTGTGTTTGAAGGACGACACAAACAGCCTAATTGTGATATGACAGAGTGCATTTAGGAAAACATTTCAATTTAATGATGATTCAGCGGCACCACGAACGTTCTAAAATATGGATTTAAAGCATTAGCAGTCTTGGCGGTTAAACGTAAAGCACTGGCAACCCATTCTCTCGACTGTTTAGGAAACGCAGAGGCAAACGTTGGTCGGTCGTGTGAGTTCTGCTGGTTGTCTGAGACTGTGAACATTTTCAACGCCACATGAAAGGGGCACACATGGCTCAGCTGGGGCAAATCATTTTTATCTGTCAGCAGCTAGAGTAAATGCTCTTGAAGCCCGAGGGGCAGCTGGGAGGATCTTGGACAAGAAAAGGAAGAAATGCACCCCGCTGAGTAAATAACTTGCTGTGACCGTCTGTGCATCTGTCACTGCAGAATTATGACTAAATATCGGAACATTTGCATCAGCAGTAAGCCCAGAAACATGAACCTTGTCCCCCTTGGCTCCCTGATAACACCTCTCTGATAACAGCAGGATATGTTTTTCTGGAGACAATTTCCTGCTTCAATCAGTTACATGTTTGGGTGACATTCCCATGTTTTTTTTATCTGAGGCTAGCAGATGTTATACACTTTGCTTGCTGCAGACCCAACAGGTGATTGTTTTAAGAGAAAAATGTACAAAACCAACGAGAGCATGTTGTGACGATAAAACTGTTTATTTGGCTTTGTGGGGGGACAAAAGTTGAAAGTCTTAGAAAACATTGATCAGATAGACTCATGTATGTCAATCTTACTAACTTTTCCTTTAAATGGTCCGCTCGTAGGATGACAAAATACCATCAAAATGGCTGATAAAAAAAATCACCACTGCTTTTTTTAAAACGTAGTACAAACGCTAGGCACCAGCCAAAACTTCCTGTCCTGTGCAAATACATAAAAAGTCACCTCTGTGTAGTCAAACGAGTTGAAACAAGTGCAAAAATCAAGAGGAACAACACGGAAACAAAAGGCCTCATCTTCCTCGTGCCACCGGATGCAATAATTCGTTATTCATCTGTATACACAAATTCATTAGCAAACCCAAAAATGCGCACGCGGAACGTTCACTTGCCAAAACAACTCCTCGAATTCGGAGCACATTTTTACAGGAAGCGGAGTCAGGGAAATACCTATCGGCTTGCCTGGTCTCTTCGTCCGCGAGGCGGGATGAATGCTTGGCGCAGACGCCATGAAGGAAGGAGGGGCATCAGACGACCGGTACAGGTTCTTGTGTGTTTTCTCCTGTTCCCACTCGCTCCCTGTCCCTGAGCTTTGTGCCAAGAATGGGCAGTGTCTCTGTGCCAGGCAGAATTTCAATAAGGGAGTAAGGAGGTGGTGGGGAGAAAGAAAAAAAAAAGGAGGAGGAGGTGGAGGCTCGACGGGGGAGCTGGCGTTGGCAGAGGAAGTATGCCACACAATAGATGGCAGGATGAAGAAATCCAATCCTTTCAAAGACGCAAACAAATTTCTTGTCTTACTCAGGCCTGATTTTCAGGTCCCCTAAAAAAAATAAAAAATAAATGCTACGGTGATTTTACTAAAGCAGCTTTCTTTATCCTCCCACCACCAGAAAAATGCTTTACTCCTCCATTTAGAAAAAGAAGGACACGAGCTTTGAGCCTCCTACATCCCACTTGGCACGTTGCCCGCTCGGATGTTCTGTATATCCTCATTAACCGGGAAAAACACTCACGCGGCTCACGCTCATATGTGTACATGTATACAGATTCACTGCCATATGCGTTTGCGTCCATGTAAACATTCAACACCGTTGCTTCACCTGCGTTCATTAAAGGAGACACCGATTTACTGACTGATCATTTAATTAGAAAACATTGAAATCTTTGCATTTGACTACAACTAACTGTGCTAATAAAAAAAAATTAAAAAAACTTTTGAATGTGTAAACAAGCTAGTTCAACATGAGCTACTGCGTTTACTGTTCTACTTAATTTTTAACTATTAAAAAATCATGTAGGTCCTTTAAATAAATAACTATTCACTTGACATTTTAATTTAGAGACCTGACTGAAAAATGTTGAATTTAGAGAAGTCTTATAAAGTCTGAAAAAAGGAAGTGAACAGATTTATTCACATTTGCATTAAGGACACTGTGTATTCTCTTACACAGCTTTTTCTAGCTTGCAGGTATAAAAATACGACAGAGCTTTAGGGCCACGCTAAGAAAAAAAAATTAAAAAGGCATAAAATTATGAGAATAAAGTTAAAAATTAAAAAATTAAAAAGTTTTAATATTACGAGAATAATAAAGTCGTACGAGTCTTTTTGCAGGTCTTGTGGGTTTTTTTTTCCACGAACTGGATCCACAACAAGACCTGCCAATCAATCCAGTAGGCGTGTCAGCAAATGACCAATCCAAAGCTAAATGAGTCTTAATATTATCCAAACTCCGACGCGATAGAGCAGCGTTTACCGCATTTTAACTGTGGTAAAATGAATAAATACAAATAATGAGATAGTTAATCTGCAGTGCAGCTCTCTGCAGGTAAGGAGGATTTAGCTTTGGATTGGCCACTTGCTGACACGCCTACTGGACTGACTGACAGGTCGCGTCGTGGATACGACTTGTGGAAAAAAACAAAATTAAATTAATGACAGCTGTAAAAAAAAAAAAAAAAGAAGAAGTCTTGAACGACTTTATTCTCGTAATTTTATGGCGTTTAATTTTTTTCCCCTGAGTGGCCCTAAAGCTCCATCACAATAAAATAGAAAAAATCAACAAGCTTAAAAATAAGACTATTTGATGCACATTCACCTTTTTCTACTTAACCTTGTTGTATATCTGCAACATTAGCTCTCACAGAAAAGTGCTGAATACAAATGCATTCAATAAGTGATATTTAAATATATCACGTGTTTTGATATGGAGATTTTGCCTTTTACTACGTAGTCATTTTGAATTAAAAGTTGCTCTTAATAATTGGCATAGTCAAATAATGTTTTTTGTTGGCTTTTTTTTTTTTAGGTAGAAGCTGAGCTTTTTTTATGCAAAAGAAAAATGTGTAAATTATCAACAGTGTGATGCTACAGTCTACTTTTATGACACGTGCAAAGCATTTTCTAAACATGCATGCAAGTTGTTCTCATGAAAGTAAAAAGTATAAGCCAACAGAAAACTCAAACAATCTCTGAAAAGCATGCAATTCCCTAAAAATATAATCAATTTTCTGAAACATCCGAATGAAGAACTATAGGCATCTATAATCTTCTCTCCCTCTCTTCTCTTTATTTTTCTACTGAGATGTGCGGTCACCATGGTTTCAAACGCTTCTGATAGCTTACATTTCTGATGTGTTATTACACGCCCACATGTTATAACGTTACCAATTCTACAAACATGCATGCACATGCAGCATAAACATGCATGTACAGCACATGGATGCAAGTATTTCTTTTATATCAGAGAGCTGTGTGTGCACGTTTACAGAAAGTATGCATGCAAAAGTGCAAAGTGGTGTATTTCAGGATGGAACAGCTGCAGCTTCCTGCATGAGAAGACAAACTTCCTGTTGCCTCGCTGCAAACTGAGGCCGGTCAGCTAAGCTATCAGCCAATCAACCAAGCTGAGGCTAAATGCAGGAAGTTAGCCTGACTGCCTCTAGGAGAAAAACTCAGAAACATTATGAGGCAACACGATAAGTTCATCTGAGGATAAGAGAGGGGCAGGGCCAAAGAGCTCTCCTCCTACCTCTAGGCCGGTCTCTCTACTGTAACTCTTGTTCTCTATTTTTCTCAAGCTTCTTTCTTCAGATTTTCTGCTCTGCTGTCACGTTTCAAACAAAACAAAAAGTTTTTTGACTGAGTGTTTGTTGATTTCATGCATTAATTTGCTACCTAGTTTAAAGCAGAGCAAAGGTAATCGGCATAAGGGGATGAAGGAAAAAACTGGCATATCCACAAATTGTGAGGGGTATGTTGAAAGGGTCTGCTCGTGTTTACACGTGGCATGAAGGCGCCATTTTAACACCAACCTGTATTTAGATCAAGGTACAGTAAGGCAGAAAGCAGTCCACTTAAGCTCCTACTGTAACTGTGCATGCAAATACAAGCAGCACTACTAAAAGCAGGCTGAAGAGAAGAATCAACTGGTGGTTAATTTGCATTTTCAGCTGAATCTGAGTCAACAGCTGCAATAATTTCTGCTTTGGTTTTAGGGTACTCTGGTTTCCGACATGCTGCGGTAATCTTATATTTAGACACGTCTTGTGCTTTTTCCTGGAGATGATGATATAAATACTGATTACTACTTCTGTAATCTTCAACAGCAAGTCAAAGTACCACTTCAATGTTTACATCTAAAACAGAGGATCACTGAAATAAAACAATTAAAACCATATCTATATCAGGCTGTCTTGTTCTTGACACAGTCGGCTGTAAACCTGAACTGGGTTTCGTTTCTGTTTGTGTTTCCTCTCAAGTGCCACATGCATACAGATCCACCGCTGCATGTGACTCCGTGCTCAAGGCCAAACATTACCATGTTGTAAGAAACTGCCACACCCCTAGACTGTAGAGATAAAACTTAGGCACGTTTGCACAAACACGCATGTCTCTGGGAGACAACGGCCACTCACCAGAGAGTGACAGAAAGTGCAAACTGTGTGCAAAGATTACCAAAAACTGAGTAAATATTACCTTTCACAGCAGCACAGGCAAAAGAGACATATCACTCGTCCAACTAGAGCAGACCTTTAACTCTTCTACTGACCTGAGCACAACGACAGATCTCTCGCTCAGTTGATGTGGGGTCAGAAAGTAGCCAAGAAGGCCCGTTTTTCTCTGGCCAGTATCAAAATCGACACCTGTTCAGGACAGAAAGCCCCAACGGACTGTGTACTGTCCTGGAGCAGAGAGAGGAGAGGAGGAGGAGAAGTGAGCAGAAGAAAGAGGATGGTTAGCAGGGTCCCTCTCAGTTCTAGAAAAAAGTTTCTCTAGTTATGTCCACTGAGCCAAAATGGCGGCGGGTTCGGTGTGGCGTGGCATCCAGCGACGACGCACACGTTTACGGGAAGAAGACCGCAATGAAGGACAGAGGAAAAAGCGAGGGGAACTGCAGAAAAGAAGAAAAAAAAGATGATAAGGGGCAGTAAATAAGACAGGAAAAGGTGTCGCACGATAAAAGAGTACAATACCTGAAGCCTGCGAGTGTGCAGCGGGCTGGGCTTGGAGGACTGGCGGAGAAGAGGGCCGTGATGGCGGGAAGAAGGGAAACGAGAGGAGTAGAGCACACCCTCTCAGAGCTACACCCCTTTCCCACAATCCCCTCCTACTGGCGTGAGTGCGTCTGTCCGTACACAGTGACAGAGAGACGTCTGCACACACACTCACACAGCCCTACAACACACACTAACCAGAATATCAAGCAGAGTGCACAGCAAAACAAGAAGCCCTCCAAATCAGACCCCCAGCAGACCCACCACACTTGCACCTACGTATGGCCAAAGCCCAGACTAGCTCTCCCACACAAAGATGGTCCAAAACACAAACATGCACGTGATGAACTCGCCAGCCTTTGGATTGCCCTCTGCTCTGCCCTGTGATGCGTTCGCCTCGCTCTGCCTGCCCTCTTTGGCACTACTGCCAAGAGGGAAGGAGAGAAAAGGGAGGATAGCAGGGGGGCAGCAGAAACATAGAAGAAGGAAGGGAGGGACGTGCTGTAGTGAGAGAAAGAACAGAAAGAGGTGGAGTTAAGAAAGACAGTGTGCCACAAAAAGAGAAGAAAAAGAGAGAGGGGAAGCGTAAACTGTCATGAGCAGACACGGTGACACAAAGCAGCGAGCCAGCAGTAGCCAGGAGCACTGCTAACATTTGCACGCTAATCATCCAGCATAAAACACACGCACGCACTCCTCATCACTTATACTGTACTGCAGCAACACAGACGGTGAGAGAGACAAGCAGATCCTGACACTTCTGCCATGTTGTTTCATCTTACCACGTGTTGTTCGTACAGTCGGCGGAACCAAAACGCCCAAAGTGGCGTTGAACTAAAACTTGAAGCTGCTGCGTGCTTTTTGTCAAGTTGTCTTACCAGAAAGTGGAGCCCAACAACAGTCGCTGTCTTTTTTGACATCTCTTTTCTGCCCGATTTTCTCCGCGTCTCCCTTCATCAGGGAATAATATCAGCCCTACTGAGTGGGAGGAGTTTGGCGAGTTCATCTAAATGAATAAATATGCAGGCAGGGTGGAAAATTCAT